ATACAAGTCTAGAAGAGATAAAAGAGGCGAGAGGAGAAATATGAAAGAAAAGAAGGGGAATTTTTATTTAAGAAAAAGAAAGTTTGAATACAAAACAACTTGAATGAAAGGAGAGGAAAAATGAAAGACTGGAATAAAGGCAAATAAAAAAAGCGGGAATGTAATTATTCTATCAGATGAATCAAAAACAACCAAAACATAAAAAAAAGATAAAAAAATAACATTATGTTGAAAGGAAACACAGACAATAAAACAATATCAATATTAAACATATGTTAAATGCCTTAGTCTAAATTCAGAAAGGAAAATTCTCTAAATTACAAAAAGATAGACAGTAATGGAAAAGTGGCAATAGGATTTTATTTTTCTCTCTCCATTTTGGATAAATCTAGCAGAAAGATAAACAGAAAGATATATATTATATATGTATGTATACATATATATTACATATGTATATATATATACATATGTAGATCTATCTATCTATATACACATATATATGAGAGAATGCAGTAGACGACGAATAGTGAGAGAAATGAAAATCAAAATATCCCTGAAGTTTTACCTCATGCTCTGCAAATTGGCAAAGAGGCCAAAAAAATATGAATAGCCAATGTTGGAGAGGTTATAGGAAGATAGATACACTTGTACATTGTTAATGGAAGTATAAATTAGTACAACCATTTAAACCAGACCTGCACAACTTCACAGCATGCAGGAGCCAAAATTAAAACACGCTAAACTTCTTCTGGCCTCAGATAGGTTTTTAGTGATAGACTGACGATGGTTGGTTGCCATGAGTCATGTGACAAACAGGAGAGAGTAGGCAGTGGCAACCCACCCACCAATTTACATAATAGGCACAATAGTGGCTAGTGGAAGGTGGGTTAAGTGAGGTATGGACAAAGCACTCCTTGCGTCTTTACTTTCATTTATGTCCTCTGTGTTTTTAGTGGGCTGCCTGAAATCCTTTGGTGGGCCTCCAGTGGCCCATGGGCCTTATGTTCTACAGGCCTGATTTAAACAACTTGGAATTTTGAAATAAAATCATGAAAATGACCATAGCCCTTAACTCAAAAATTCCACTATCAGACTTATGGCCACAAGGAGGCCATTTTTAAGAAGAAAGTTCCCATATACACCAAAATACTTACAGCAGAACTTTTTGTCATAACAAATAATTAGAAGCAAAGTAGAGAGCCATTGATTAGGAAATGACTAAACAATTGTGTTAATATTAATTTAATGGAACATTACTATGCTGTAAGAAATGATGGATGTGATGAATGCAGAGAAACATAGAAACATTTATATTAAATGATGTGGAGTGAAGTAAACAGAGCCAAGAAAATAATATACATAATGACTAAAACAATGTAAACAAAATGAATGACTACATACACACACAAAATCAAAAGTAAATGTTGCAAAATTACAAAGAACAAGCATGACTCTAATGAAGAGAAAGAAGATATCCCATTTCTTTGCTCCACAGGAAGTCCATAAGAATTGTATATTGCACATATTTTCAGACTTTCACAATGCATTAATCATTTTTATGGATTTTTCCCTTTTTTTGTCTTAAAAATATTATTTGTTACATGGGGTGGCTCTCTAGAAGAAGGAGAAAGAGCTGAGCAAAGTCTTAATGATGTTTAAATATGAAAGACATCAATAAAATTTATTTGAAAAAGAAAAATATAAGATAAAAATTGTTTGGAGGAATGGACACTAATGTGATTTCAGTAGTGTAGGGAAAGCAAAGCATATTGCGAATAATATTCTGCAAATTAGTCTTAGCAACTAACCTGAGGCAACGAGAAGTTGTTATTAGCATGGTACACCATAAAATAAATATCAGAGACAGGTATTCCACGGCATCTAGATGACATAGTAGATACAGCCCCAGACCTGGAGTCAGAAAGACCTGAGCTCAGATCTGGCCTCAGACACTGACTACCTGTGTGACCCTGAAAAGGTCACTTAACCCTTCTTGTCTCAGTTTCCTCATCTGTAAAATGAGCTAGAAAAGGAAATGGCAACCCATTCCACTATTTCTGCCAAGAAAACCCCAAATGGGGTTGCAAAGAGTCAGACATGACTGAAATGACTGAACAATAACAAATTCCTGACTTAGAAGACAGCTTTCTATTCACTACATTTAATTATCAAAGTAAAATATTAACTGCAAGAATCTGAGGTAGAACAATGAGTGCTACTGTAATACTTCAGAGGAGAGGGAGGTCAATTAGATTTAGGATAGTCAAGGATGATCACATGGGGTCGACTGAAGTCAAGTTCAACGGAGTTTAATCTTTGATGATGACAGGGCTCAGAGAAGACAAATGTATCCTCTCCCATCTTAGAATAAAGCAGTTTCTATTTGTTTAGTCTCTTATGATTGCCATTCATGTACTCCTTTTTGTGTTTCTCTTACCTCCTGTATTTGAACTTCAAAATTTCTATGCAAAGTGAAAGCTCCCAGGAACATTATAGCCACAATCCAGAGTTGCCAGTGTAAAGAAAAAATATTGCATACAGCCAGAAATGAAGAATTCAAGTACTAAGGAGCCACAGTCAGAAAGACACACATGTTAGAAACCACCAATGTGAGGGAAAGGACAAACTGGAATATGATTTTCCAGAAGGCAAAGGATATAGGTTTATAGCAAAGAATAACTTGCCCAGCAAAAAAAGGAGTACAGTCAAAAAAGGGGAAAATGGATCTTTGATGAAATAGAGCAAGGATCAAAAATAACATAGCCCCAGGACCAAATCTGGCCACTACCTATTTTTCTATGGCCTATGAGCTAAGAAAGTTTAAATACAAAAATGCATGAAAACTGCATAGGACTTTAAGTAAAAACTTTGAAGTTCAAACAGAAAAAGTAAGAGAAACATAAAGTAAACATGAATGAGCTCTCATAAGACTAAACAAGGATGTTATTTAGGTTGTTAAATTGTGTCAGTCGTGTCTGACTCTTCATGACCCCATTTGGGGTTTTCTTGGCAAAGATAGTAAAGTGGCCTGCCATTTCCTTGTCTAGCTTCTTTTATAGATGAGGAAAGTGAGGCAAACAAAGGTTAAGTGATTTGCTCAGGTCATGCAGCTAGTAAGCATCTGAGGTCAGATTTGAACTGACTCCAGGCCTGTCACTCTAACCACTGTGTCATCTAGAAACCCTATAAGTAATGTTAAACTACTTTTATTCTGAAATGGGAAAATTATACATGTGTTTACTCCAAACCCTACCATCATCAGGTATCACATAGGGAGTCTAGTTACACAAGGCCTAGGGGTGGTTCTATTATATCTTGATGATCTTAAGAGAACGGAAAAAGAGGGAAAGAGGAATACACTAAGGGGGAGGGAAAGAAGAGGGTGTGCAAGTGTCAACATCTATACAAACAAGAAGTAGGGGGTAGGAGGGACTTGAACCTCACCGTCATCTGAACTGGTCAAAGGAGGGAAGAATACACACACAACACACACATACACAGAGTTGGGTATAGAAATATATTTCATTCAATGAAGGAGGGAAAGGAGAGAAGGAATAATTAGAGGGAGGATAGATTAAGGGAGGGATTAGTCCTAAGCAAAACAAACTCTAAAGATGTAGAAAAAAATTTATAACTATTTTTGGGGTGGTAAAGAATGGAAATCTAAGAGGGTGCTGTATATGGGGAAATAGCTGTATATAAACATGATGAAGTACTGTTGTGATGTAAGAAATGATGGTGATGGTTTCAGAGAAATCTGGGAAGATATATAGGAACTGATGCAGAATAAAGTAAACAAAAACAGGAGAACTATTTATACAAGCACAACAATATGGTAAAGGCAAACAACTTAGGAACTCTTATCAGGGTAATGACCAACCAAGATTCCAGAGGAATACTAATGAAAGATGCTACCCACCTCCTGAGAGAAAAGTAAAGGACTCAGAGTACAGAATGAAACACATCTTTTTCTGAACATGGTAAATGTAGATATTTGTTTTGCTGGATTATACATGTTTTTAACATGAGTTTTATTTTTCTTCTCAAATGGAAGTGGGGAGGATTGGAGTGAGAGGAAGAGAAGCTAAGTTTTTGCTGTTTGGAGAAAAATAATGTGTGTGTATGCACAACACACACACACACACACACACACACACACACACACACACACATATATATATATATATATATATATACATATATGTGTGCATAATTCTTTAAAGGAACTGCATTGAGTTGGTACTAGTATCTTGTGCAAAGAGTAGCACTGAGACCAGGGTATAACGGAATGTTAGAGTATATGCATCTCAAAGTAAATGGAAAATAATAAGGTATAAGAAGACTGGAGAGGTAGTAAGGGGCCAGTTATGAAAGACTTTGAATGCCAAGCAGGAGACTTTGTATTTGATGCTAGAGGCAATAAGGAGTCAAAGCAGTTAATTGAACAGGAAAGTTATATGATCAGTCTGAGGCTTAGAAAGATCAATTTGATGACTGAGTGGAAGATGACCCAGAGTGGGGAGAGCCTTGAAGCAAGGAGACTCACCAATATGCTAGTTTAATAGTCCAGGTGTGAGGTGATGAGGGCCTGTACCTGTGAAGTGGTAGCAGTAGAAGAGAGGCATGCTTATTACACAAAAGATATGAACAGAGATTCTAAAGGACTTGTCAACAGATTGGATATAGGAGTGAGAATGAGTACAGTCTGACACCCATGTTGTGAGCTTGGGTGACTAGGAAGATGGTGATGCCATCAATAGCCACAGGAAAGTTAGGAAGAGGGTGAGACTTGAGGAGGAAAGATAATCATTTGAGTTTTAGAGTTGCCCAATTTGAAATGTCTATGTGATATTCAGTTAATACATCCAATAGATCGGTGGAGATGGAAGAATGGAGGTCAGAATGGAAGCCAGAATAGAAGTTAGGGTTGGAGAAGATGATCTGAGAATCATATGCATAGGGATAATAATTGAATCCATGGTAACTGATGAGGTCACCAAGCAAACTATAAGGGAGAAAAGTAGACACAAAAGAGCCTTGAAAAAGACATTAGATAAAGTAAGAGACTATTGCTAACTTTGGAGAGAGTAGCTTCAATTGAATAATGAAGTTGAAGACAGATTGCAGAGTTAAGAAGAGAGCAACAGGAAACTAATTAGAGGCACCAATTATAGATGAGTTTCTTGAGGTTGTTTAGCAACAAAAGGGAGAAGAGCTAAAGATATATACTCAAAGTTGGATTTCCCTTTCATAAGAGAGCTTCACTTTGGATTATTCTGCTCTCTTTCCATAACCCCTCTTGTTTGGGGTCGTTGGTTTTGTTTTGTTTTCCTCCTCCCTTTTTCTTTGAAGTTTCTTTGAAGGAACCTTTAGAGATTAAGATGACACAATGATCTAAGGGTTTTTACATTGTGTTAGGCATGGTTTAATTGTGATTGTTTTAAGTACTTGCTATTTTTTTTGAAAGGTTAGAGTCATGGTTACTCAACTGCCTACTTCAGTTCCACAGCAAACTCACAGGGAGATATTGTAAATTTTTGAGTATTTGACATCTGTCGTTCTTTCAGTTACTATGAGAATTACTAGCTTGGAAGGGGTTTACAATTTCACCATTAGATCTCAATACACTCTGTTAGAAAAAGTTCTTAAATGTTTGAGATTTTGTTTTGTTTACTTATTCTTTCATTTGCCACTTCATATCTTTGCCAAGTTAGGTTTTTGGTGGTTGTTGGGAGCAAAAGTAAGCACTATGCAGAAATTAATGTGAATTAGGAAATGAGAGTGGCAGTGTCCAATCTGATTTCAAGGTTTTTGAGAAGTTATGTAGTGCCCAACTAGTACACACATCCTGTAAGTAATTGTGATTATGTCAGAATGAAATGAAAATATTTTTCTTTCACTTTATATGTATTTTTTAAATGTCTACTATGTCGTAAGAACATAAATGCTTATTAAGTTGTTTAGATCTAACTATTCAATACATGGGATTGTTAGTTGTCTCTTGGCTATGAAAAAAATATTGAGACATTAAGGACACTGTGACTCATGAAAGTTTAGGAACCTTTGAGTTAGAGTTCTCTGTCTCATTTCCAAGAAACAGTATGTATAGTATAATGAAGACATTGCAAGTTTTGTCTTGAGCAAGCCAATTTGAATCCTGAATTTGAGTTCTGCCTCTACCACTTCTCAGCCTGGCTAATCATTTAACTTCTCTAACCCTCAGCTTTCTCATCTGTAAAATGGAGCTAATAACACCTTTGGGAAGATCAAACAGGATCATTTCAAGTAAACTGCTATATAATTGTTATATAAGGTAGGGTGGTATGATTTTATATATATGTATATATATATATGTATATATATATGTATATATATGTGTATATATATATATATATATATATATATATATAAATATATAAATATATAAACACACAGTTGATTTAGTTACAGGATTTAGTCATAGATGATGACCTTTTTTTAAAATAAAAATTTATTTATTTTTAGTTTTCAGCATTCACTTCCAGAAGATTTTGAGTTCCAAATTTTCTCTCCATCTCATCCCTCCCCCCTCAAGATGGCATTCATTCTGAATACCCCTTCCCCTAGTCTGCCTTCTCTTCTATCTCTCCCCCCCTTCTCTTATCCCCTTCCCCTTCTATTTTCCTGTAGGGCAGGATAGACTTCTGTGCCCCATTTCCTGTATTTCTTATTTCCCAGTTGCATGTGAAAACATTTTTTTTTAAACATGTGTTTTTAAAACTTTGGGTTCCAAATTTTCTCCCTTCTCCCTCCCCACCCACCCTCATTGAAAAGGCAAGAGTAGACATTTTGTGAAAAACTAACTCTATTTCCATTAATCCTATCCTGCCCCCCCATTTACTCTATTCTTGCTTTTGACCCTGTCCCTCCTCAGAAGTATTTGCTTCTGATTACCCCCTTTCCCAATGTGCCCTCCTCTCTATCATCCCCCTGCTCTCTTGTCCCCTTCTCCCCCTATTTTCCTGTATGGTAAGACAGATTTCCATACCCAATTGAATGTGTATGTTATTCCCTCCTTAAGCCATATCTTATGAGAATAAGATTCCCTTATTCCCTCTCACCTTCCCCTGTTTCCCCTCCACTTTAAGAGCCTTTTCTTTTCTGTTTTTTTATGAGATAATTTACCCCATTCTATCTCTCCCTTTCTTCTTCTCCTAGTATAATCCTCTCTCAACCCTTAATTTTGTTCTCTAGATATGACCCCTTAAACTTCAACTCACCTTGTGCCCTCTATCTATCTATCTATCTATCTATCTATCTATCTATCTATCTATCTAAACATATATATAATTTTTCCTTCCAACTACCCTAATACTGACAAAGGTCTCGTGAGTTATAAATATCATGTTTCCGTGCAGGAATGTAAACAGTTCAACCTTAATAAGTCTCTTATGATTTCTCTTTCCTGTTTACCTCTTCATGTTCCACTTGAGTCTTGTATTTGAAAGTCAAATTATCTATTCAGCTCTGGTCTTTTCATCAAGAATTCTTGAAAGTCCTCTATTTCACTGAACAACCATTATTTCCCCTGAAGGATGATACTCAGTTTTGCTGGGTAGGTGATTCTTGGTTGTAATCTTTTCTCCTTTGCCCTCCGGAATATTATATTCCATGCCCTGCAGTCCTTTAATGTAGAAGCTGCTAAATCTTGTGTTATCCTGATTGTGTTTCCACAATACTTGAATTGTTTCTTTCTGGCAGCTTGTAATATTTTTCTCCTTGACTTGGGAACTCTGGAATTTGGCTACAAAATTCCTGGGAGTTTTCCTTTGGGGATCTCTTTCAGGAGGAGATTGGTGGATTCTTTCCATTTCTATTTTGCCCTCTGGTTCTAAAATATCAGGGCAGTTTTCCTTGATAATTTTTTGAAAGATGATGTCTAGGCTCTTTTTTTGATCATGGTTTTCAGATAGTCCAATAATTTTTAAATTCTCTCTCCTGGATCTATTTTCTGGATCAGTTGCTTTTCCAATCAGATATTTCACATTATCTTCTATTTTTTCATTCTTTTGGATTTATTTTATAGTGTCTTGATTTCTCATAAAATCACTAGCTTCCAATTGCTCCGTTCTAATTTTTTAGGAAGTATTTTCTTCAATAGGCTTTTGGACTTCCTTTCCCATTTGGCCAATTTTGCTTTTTAGGGCATTCTTCTCATTGGCTTTTTGGACCTCTTTTTCCATTTGGGTTAGGCTATTTTTTTAGGCCATTGGGTTAAGTGACTTGCCCAAGGGTCACACAGCTAGTAAGTGTCAAGTATTTGGTCTGAGGCCAGATTTGAACTCAGGTCCTCCTGACTTCAGGGCCGGTCCTCTATCCATTGCGCCACCTAGCTGCCCCATGGTTTAGGCTATTTTTTAAGGTGTTAGTGTCTTCAGTACTTTTTTGGGTCTCCTTTAGCAAGCTATTAACTTGTTTTTCATGATTTTCTTGCATCACTCTCATTTCTCTTTCCAGTTTTTCCTCTACTTCTCTACTTCTTTCTCAAAATCCCTTTTGAGCTCTTCCAAGGCCTGGGACTGATTCATATTTTTCTTGGAGGCTTTGGATGTAGGAGCTTTGACTTTGTTGTCTTCTTCTGGTTGTATGTTTTGATCTTCTTTGTCACCAAAGTAAGATAATATAGTGTGACTCTTTTTGCACTGCTTGCTCATGATCTTGGCCAATTACTTGAGTTTTAAACTCTTTGTTAAGGTACGAGTCTGCTTCCAATGTGGAGAATGTACTATCCCAAGCTTCAGGGGTCTGTACAGCTGTTTTCAGGGATACTTGTAGGGACTTGTAAATTTTCAGTTCTTCCAAGGTGGTATGATAACGGGTGAGGTTTTTACTTCTTTCCTGGCCTGTGCTCTGGTCTATTAGTGACCATGAGCATTCCTTTCTGTCCTGGAACTGTAAGGAGGGTTTTATCTCCACAGCCATTACAAGCTCCACCACTCCAGTGCTACTCCTTGCCCCAGGACTGCTGCCCAGAACTGTGACCCAGATCCAAGCACTGGAAAAGCAAGAGATTCCAGCCTCAGCACTGGAAAAGAGATCCCTGCAATCCCCCTCTGATCAGCCACTAGATTTCTCCTCAGTCTGTGGGCCAGAAGCTCAGGAGGCTGCCGCCACCCCTGAGGCCACACTCTGAGCTCTCCTGGAAATGGAGCTGCGACCCTGCGCTCCTCTCTCAGCACCACAGAAACAGACTTTTCCCACTGACCTTCTAAGTTGTCTTTAGTGTTCATGGGTTGATAAGTTTGGAGACTGCCACAGCTGCCTTCAATGTAGTCCTCTGAGGCTGCTCCAGGCTCACTGTGGCCTGCACCCCCACACCACACTGCACTCCTCTACCCACCCAGCACAATATACCTTTCTGATCAACCATCCAGGTTGTCTTGGGCTAGAAATTTGCTTCACTCTGACTTTTTTGTGGGTTCTGCTGCTTTACAATTTGTTTAGAGCCATTTTTTACAGGCATTTGGAGGGGTTTGGGGGATAGCTCAAACAAGTCACTGCTTTCACTCTGCCATCTTGGCTCTGCCCCAGATAATGAGCTTTTAAATAAGGTCAGAAAGTATTAAACTAATTGTAAATTTGGGACCACATCCAAGATTTTTTTACGAAGTTTTACTTCCTATCTCTGATGCAATTTAGACAGGTCTTTTCAAAAATTGGGCATGCCTTTGCAAGACTTTAAAAAACTAAGGCCTGGAGAAAATTCATAAGTGTAGGTAATAGTGGAGGAGACTTCAGTGCCTATTCGAGAGGGTGGCAAGAACATATGTTTGGGGGGGCAGGGTGTGTGTGTAGGAAAATGTTTTTCTTTTCTCCCTTGTCATCCATGCCACTTTAAAGCAGATCAACTCAACCAGTAAGAGACATCCTTCTCAAAAGTTCTAGAGTTGTTATTTGGAAAATAGTTGAGGCACAGTTGCATCCGGCAGGTAGCAGAGACATACCTGCCAAAGAAACAGAGATATAGATTGATAATCACCCCAAGGTGGAAGCAGTTTCTCAGAGCATGGTTCCTGGCAGCAAAGAAGAGAGCTGGCTTTGGACACAAGAGAGAGCTAGCCCTGGCAACCAAGCATTAAGCTGCAGAAATAACAGCATAAAGAAAGAAAGGACTTCTAGGCCTTGTGATTTAAGAGTTGTGAGCTGCCTTGACATGTATTTTCTACATATGTGCCACATTACCATTGTACTCTAAAGTTAAGCCCACTGTTCCTCCAGAACTGTGTATTTAAGGGAGATTCTGCCTCACATTTATGTGAGGAATATTTTGTAGCTACTGTTTTTACTATGACTTCTATAGTAAGCCAGACGCAACTAAAGACAGTTCTGACTCAAGACTGGAATGAAGTGAGACTAATAGAACATTAGATGGGTCAGCCAGGTGGCACAATGAATAGAGTGCTGGGCTTGAAGTCAAGAAGACTCATCTTCTTGAGTTTGAATCTGGCCTCAGACACTTACTAGTTGTGTGACCCTGGGCAAGTCACTTTATCCTGTTTGCCTTAATTCTTCACCTATAAAATGAGCTGGAGAAGGACAGGGCAAACTACTCTAGTATCTTTGCCAAGAAAAACCCCAAAAAGGCAGTCATGAAGAATTGGACATGATTGAAAGGACTGAACAATAGAATATTAGACAGTTAACACAGAAGCCTAGTTACCCATAATAGAGAAAGTATATTCATAGCAGAAAGAGGACATTTAGCAAGGACACAGCATTGATTCATTTGGGTGAGACTTCACTGCCTCTGTGCTGCCCATAATAGTCTTCTGCTCAGAAGCTAGAAGGAGGAACTACTGACTTCCTGTGCATCTTGGTATTTTTATACCAGAGACACCAAGAAGTTGTGTCAATTGTCTGGACCTTAGTCTTCCTGTATTGATTAAGTCAATAATTTTTCAGGGAAAATGAACCAACATTGCCCTTAGGGATGTGCGAAGTTTGGTGTGTCAGTACAGGAGGAAGAAAAGATAAACTAAAACAGAAAACATCAAAAGAAAAGAAAACAATAAGTTATGTGAAGGCTCCATGAAGAAATGAACAAATACAGAAGAGAATGAAGACCAGAAATTTCCCAAGTTTCACCTCCCCTTTTTGGAAGGACCAAGTCTTAGATCTAAATGGTCTGGTCCATGTGGTGAGTGATATCATATCTTCATGTGAGTAGATCATGGATAAGGCACTAAGAAGAAATACGAACCTTCAAAGGATAAAAAGTTATACAGTTTATTGTATGTGCAAATATTCTATCTTTCAGTTCCCAGAGCAAGCATGGGTAATGAGTGGATGAGCACATAGTGGGATATGAGACCAAAGCTTTCAGTCTCTATACCTCTGATTGTTGTTGCTGGGCAGATTTGTAGAGACTGAGTGGGTGGGGAACATTAAGGCCAATCAATCCACAGGTGTGGGGGGGGATTACTATCCATAGTAATCAAGAGTTGGACTGCAGATATTACTACACAAAGAATTTCCCTTCCTCTGCCCTTATCAACCAGAAGGGCATTGTGATAAAGTTTTACTAACCTCGCATTCATGAATTAGATGAAGTTTGCTAAACTGATTATTATCAGGGCAGCCTTACATTTCTTTTCCTAAATGAAGCTGACTAAATCAGCTATTGAATACCTAGGAGCCTCTTGGGAAATAGGTGGATCAATCAGTGGTCAAGCATTGAGTCACTTCTGCCAGCGATGGCCTAGCAATAGACCAATGATCACACTTCAAAGTTCACAGTAGATCTCCTGATATAAAGCTGTGAAAGCCAGCAGGAACATCAGGATGCCCTGCAGATCACGACATTTCTTGTAGAGTCAGTAACCCTTATCATAGATCAGGGTCATTTGTAGTTAGCTATGCAACCTGCTCCACTGCTAAGGTCAATACCAAGAACCTCTTATCCCCTTCTTCTTCAATTTTCCTGTAGGGCAGAATAGATTTCTATACCACACTTCCTGTATATTAAGATATACAGTTACATGTGAAAACAATTTTTTTAACATGTGTTTTTAAAACTTTGGGTTCCAAATTTTCTCCCTTCCTCCCTCCCCACCCACCCTCACTGAGAAGGTAAGCAACTGGATACAGGTTATACATGTGTAGTCATACTAAACACTTCCATAGTAGTCACGTTGTGAAAAACTAAGTATATTTTCCTTCATCCTACCCTGCCCCCCATTTATTCTATTCTCTCTTTTGATTTTGTCCCTCTTTAGAAATATTTGCTTCTGATTATCCACTCCCCCAATCTGTCCTCCCCTCTATCATTCCCCTGCTCTCTTGTCCCCTTCCCCCCCCTATTTTCCTGTAGGGTAAGATAGGTTTCCATACCCAATTGAATGTGTATGTTATTCCCCTCCTTAATCCAAATACGATGAGAATAACATTCACTCGTTCCCTCTCACCTTCCTCCATTTCCTTTCCACTGTAAAAGACTTTTCTTGTCTATGTGAGATAATTTATCCCATTCTATCTCTCCCTTTCTCCTTCTCCCAATATAATCCTCTCTCACCCCTTAATTTTATTCTCCAGATATCACTCCTTCATCTTCAACTCACCCTGTGCCCTCTATCTATCTATCTATCTATCTATCTATCTATCTATCTATCTATATACATACATATAATTTTTCCCTCCAACTACTCTAATACTGACAAAGGTCTCATGAGTTATAAATATCATCTTTCCATGCAGGAATGTAAACAGTTCAACCTTAATAAGTCTCTTATGATTTCTCTTTCCTGTTTACCTCTTCATGTTTCACTTGAGTCTTGTATTTGAAAGTCAAATTTTCTATTCAGCTCTGGTCTTTTCATCAAGAATGCTTGAAAGTCCCTATTTCACTGAATGACCATTTTTTCCCCTGAAGGATTATACTCAGTTTTGCTGTAGGTGATTCTTGGTTGTAGTCCTACCTCCTTTGCCCTCTGGAATATTATATCCCATACTCTCTGGTCCTTTAATGTAGAAGCTGCTAAATCTTGTGTTATCCTGATTGTGTTTCCACAATACTTGAATTGTTTCTTTCTGCTTGTAATATTTTCTCCTTGACCTGGGAACTCTGGAATTTGGCTACAATATTCCTAGGAGTTTTCCTTTGGGGATCTCTTTCAGGAGGTGATTGGTGGATTCTTTCAATTTCTATTTTGCCCTCTGGTTCTAAAATATCAGGGCAGTTTTCCTTGATAATTTCTTGAAAGATGATGTCTAGGCTCTTTTTTTGATCATGGCTTTCAGATAGTCCAATAATTTTTAAATTTCTCTCCTGGATCTATTTTCCAAGTCAGTTGCTTTCCAATGAGATATTTCACATTGTCTTCTATTTTTTCATTCTTTTGGATTTGTTTTTACAGCATCTTGATTTCCATAAAGTCACTAGCTTCCAATTGCTCCATTCTAATTTTTAAGGAAGTATTTTCTTCAGTAAGCTTTTGGACTTCCTTTTCCATTTGACCAGTTTTGCTTTTTAGGGCATTCTTCTCCTCATTGGCTTTTTGGACCTCTTTTGCCATTTGGGTTAGGCTATTTTTTAAGGCGTTATTTTCTTCAGTATTTTTTAGGTCTCTTTTAGCAAGCTGTTGATTTGTTTTTTATGATTTTCTTGCATCACTCTCAGTTTTTCCTCTGCTTCTCTTTCTTGCTTCTCAAAATCATTTTTGAGCCCTTCCGTGTCCTGAGACCTATTCATATTTTTCTTGGAGGCTTTGGATGTAGGAGCTTTGACTTTGTTGTCTTCTTTCGTTTGTATGTTTTGATCTTCTTTGTCACCAAAGTAAGATTCTATGATCTGACTCTTTTTGCACTGCTTGCTCATGATCCCAACCAATTACTTGAGTTATAAACTCTTTGTTAAGGTAAGGGTCTGCTTCCAGTGTGGAGAATGTACTGTCCCAAGCTTTGGGGGTTTTGTGTGGCTGTTTTCAGAGATACTTCTAGGGACCTGTAAATTTTCAGTTCTTCCAATGTGCTATGATCAAGAGTGAGGTGTTTATTCCTTTCCTGGCCTGTACTCTGGTCTATGAGTGACCACCATAAGCACTCTTTCCTGTCTTGGAACTGTGAGGAGGATTTCTTCTGTACCACCACTACAAGCTCCACCAAGCCAGTGCTCCTTCTCACCCCTGGATCACCACCTAGAACTGTGACCCAGATCCAAGGATGGGCAAAGCAAGAGAATCTCACACCAGCAGAGAGATCGCTGCAATCCCCCTCCTGATCAGCCACTCGATTCCCCCTCAGTCTGTGAGCCAGAAGCTCAGGGACTGGGGGCTGGAACTGTGCTTCTCTCTCTCACCACAGACACAGACTTTTCCTACTGACCTGCTAAGTTGTCTTTGATATTTGTGGGTTGAGAAATCTGGAAACCACCACAGCTGCCTCCAATTCAGTCCTCTGAGGTCTGCTACAGGTTCGCTGAGGCCTGCGCGCCCACACCAAGGTGCTTTCCTCTCCCAGCCTGACGCAATATACCTTGCTGATCAACCATCCAGATTGTCTTGGCCTAGAAATTTGTTTCAATCTGTCTTTTTGTGGGTTTTGCTGCTAGAGCCATTTTTTACAGATATTTGGAGGGGTTTAGGGGAGAGCTCAAGCAAGTCACTGCTTCTACTCTGCCATCTTGACTCTGCCCCTCTGAAATTGTTGTTCTTTTAAAGGCCTCTGCTGAGATATCACGTTCCTTGGTCCGTGCAGAGTGGGTGGGCTTGAAGTCAGGAAGACTCATCTTGGTAAGTTCAAATCTGACCTCAGACACTTGCTAGCTGTGTGACACTGGAAAAGTCACTTAACCCTGTTTCCCTCAGTTGCTCACCTGTAAAATGAGCTGGAGAAGGAAATGGTAAACCATTCCAGTATCTTTCCCAAGAAAACCCCAAATGCAGTCACAAAGAGTGAGACACAACTGAAATGACTAAATAACAAATACGCCAGAACTGTGGTAAATACTGAGGATACCAAATGAGGTAAGACAGTCCCTGGCCCTGAAGGAGCTTGTAGTCTAATGGGGAGACAAAATGCAAACAAATACATATGAACCAAGCTATATACAAGAGAAATGGGAAATAAGGTCACATTTCCCATTTCAGTTAAGGCTAAGAATGTCCAGCCCAGCTCAAGATTGTTCACCAATGGTTAGAAAAAGAGACACAGAAAAAAAAAATAGGAAGATGCCAGAGACTCTTCAAAGTCAATTCATGAGCTATAATTGCCATGGACAAATAGTTACCATTTCTGTCAAGGTAGAATAGGGTACCTAAGGAACTTAGGATCTCCTTGGTCATTCTTCCCTAGATGTCTTAAAATAGAGAGTAGGAGAGTTATATTTCACAGTTCTTGAGCAAGAATATCATCTATCCTTCCCTTTAAACTTAATAAACAGATGAACTTTTGTCCTCTGCAAATCAACTGGGTTACATTTGATACATTTGTCTGTATCTCTAGTTCTAGAAAAGTTCTGATTTCCTGGAGAGGATCAAGTATTATCTTTTCAAGTGTCTCTCCCAGTTCTTCGCACTGAAAGTCAGAAAACTAGCTGCCCAAATACCATATAAAATGTCCCGAACAGTTCATTTAGCAGTTTTAAGAAAAATTCCCAAATTTCAGTATTTAGGAATAGCCTGGTCCTACCACAGGGAGTGACCCTCAAGATCACTATCACCTACAAACACCAAAATAATGGAAATTCAAACAATGGCAGTTTATAATTACACGTTCAGGGCACAGGCCTTAAAGATACAGTAAATTCACATTTGTATCTACTTGCAGAATGCTCAGACTTTGCTCCCCAATCCCCCAAAAGACAATGGAGCATATCTCCTAGTAAGTAGTCAACACTGTTGGAAGCATCACTGCAACCACCATAAACACAGAGACCTTCAAAGTCTTATCTTTCTTCACTTTGCCCTTCCCTCACTTCAATAATACTATTCCAACCCAATCCTGCCACAGCTATGGCCAAATGTAGTAGGATAGACATGACTCAGGCCATTTGGAATAAAATAAGATTCTCACAGAACATCTGACAATTATCGAAGGGGGTTTACTTAGCCACAGCAAAAACAGGATATTCAGCAAGGATACATTATTGGTTCAATTGGGCATAGGTTCCCTGACACTGTCTCTTTGTGACTTGAAGGTTTTCAAGTTTGAAACCTGAAGAAGTTGTCGTTTACTACTCATGTCCTGGCTTTTTGTACCTAAGCCACCAGGTAGCTATATTAACTATCTGAATCGTAGTCCCCTTGTGCTAATTAAGTCTCAAAGATGGTTTCAATACTTTTAAAAGAAAAAAATCTGCAGGCTATTAATCCTACATCAACTTGATAAATGATTTTGCTAAGAGTTAATTGTATTTAGAGGTTGATCAGGCATATGCTTAAGGTTACTCCTAGGACCTGAGACAGTAGATATCCCCTAGGGACCCAATCTGCCAGTGAAAGTGCAAGTTGGGGAAAGTATTCTGGAGGTACTACACTATGAGGGTTTTACTAAGACATATTTGGATGCCCTATGAATTTACAAGGATCCACTGTAGTAAAATTGGCATTTTTTTCTTTTGTTCCATATTATAATTGGATAGTTTTCACATGTGTCTCCTTTATAGATTAGAACAGTTTCTTTGAGATAAAATCTGTCTGGTTGAATGTTTATACATGCTATCTCCTGTACTGTATCCATTATAAGTACGGCAACAAATAAAATCAATATGGATTTTGCATCCCTAGAATACAAGTACATGATAATTCACTTAGAACACAATATGCAAACTTATCCACGTTCATTTTTTTTAAGCATATCTAGACTTGCTTTCCTTATCACAATATGAATTCAGAGAGTTTATACGTTATTCCTGTGTACTGCAGGTCCTTAAAACTTGCCTGTTGGCCTTGAAACCTTGAGTAACTAACCCCCACATGCTTAATCCCTTTTGGGAGCCCCACATCTCTTTGGAGGCTTTTCTTTGCTTTCCGTCTAAGTTAGCCTACTTGTCCTGGTGAGGGGAGAGTTCAGACCTCCAGCTGGGTTCCCTATGTGTTGCAGGAACCCAGAGGAATTTTCATACAATCCCAGGATTAATTTAAGCCTGTTTGTGAGTCAAGAGTATTGGTGCCTTAAGTGAAAGAGGAAGAGGTTAAGTGCCCTACTCTTACCCAGCCCAGGGCTAGTTGGTTATATCACCTGGTTTCCAACTTAGCACAGAGAAGAAAGGGAGAAGGCAAGCATCTCATCCCAACCTGTGTACTAGTTGGTGGGTTGAAGTTCTTACATTCACTCCCAAATTCAGGGTTATACAATTTTAACAAATAGACATCATTTTACAAAATTCTCATATGTTACTGTTTGCCTTGATGCTTGCAAAGGCCTTTCCTAACCCAAAGACAAAGGAAGGAAAAGGGCAAAAAAATTACTTTCTCCCTCATAGAAGCCTGGTCCCTATAATAAACCTCACAGAATGTGCAGAGCTCTTCCCACAGGGAATAGGGGCTTAGAATCAAATGGAAATCAACAGCCTCTCTCCAAAACTCTCCCATACATGTTTAGAGAAAAACTCAAAAAACTTTTGTCTTGTGGCTTGTATGACAAAATCGACTCATGGAGCCCAGAGGAGGCTAAGGCATTTCTTTTGCCCTCATCACTAAGGGACCCCTTTGCTCTTGATTCAGTTGGGTGTTGACTGCTCCAATTTTTTTTCTATTGTATTATTCCTATTGGTTAATTTCTTCATTATTTCTATTCATTTTTTATTAATGTTTTTAATTCTCACAATTTTGTCATATGATCTAAAAAACTTTTTAAAAAAGCTTTTCTCTTATTTGGACTTGTGTTTTGTGTGTGTGTGTGTGTGTGTGTGTGTGTGTGTGTGTGCATGCGTGTATATGTGTGTGTAGATTTTTATTACTGTAGTACACAGCCAATTCTTTCCTATGCCTCTACTCATCATCCTAACTTTCCAAACCAAAATAACTGTCCCCATCCTCTGTTCCTCTATATATGTTGTCTCCTCCTATTGGAATGTAAGCCTCTTGAGTCTAGGGCTGTCTTTACATTTGTATTTGTATCCCCAGTACTCAACATAGTTATTGATGGATAATAAGTGTTTAATAATTTTTTTATTCATTCATTCAAATCACCAAGTGAGGATCAAATGTGATAATATTTTTAAAGCACTTAGCATAGTGCCTGGCACATAGCAGTCACTTAATAAATGCTTATTCCCTTCCCTTTCCCCTTCCTTCCTTCATTCCCAACCTGTACCAGTCTACGATATACACATGTCAACACGAAGGACTTATGAAATGAAAAGATTTCTTCACCTAACCCTGCCCCTCTTGCATCCCATATGTCCCACCATGCAGTCATTCAACTTAGTTGTTCATCAGTCTCTTCTCTAACTTTCCGGTCTCTAAACCAGGCCTGCACAAACTGTGGCCCACCAGAGGATTTGAGGTGGTCTGCAAAAAAAAGTAGAGGAAACGTAGAAGAAATCCTTTGGCATGCTGCAAGTGGCCAGCGAGCCATAAAACAGCAGGTTGCGCAGGTCTGGCTTAAGCCCATTCTTACACATTTAACAGCAAATTCGTGAATGTTTGTTATAACTTAGAATGTAGTGTGACGCAGAAGAAAGAATGCTAGATTTGGAGCCAGAGCATCTGTATTTGAATCTTGGATCTACATCTCTTCCTTTCTCTAATCTGAGTTTTGTCATCTTTAAAATGTGGGGAGAACCCTACAATGTCTTCAAAAGTCTGTTCCTACTTAAAAATGTGATGCTATGATCCCATATGCATACATTGATCATCCTCTATCTTCCTGGTAAGAAACTGACAAAGGAGGATCAAGAACCTCAAGATATTTTAACATACTGTGTTCAGTTTCACAATTCACCAGAGTATCATGATACATTGATTAGAAATCAGTGAGTGGTTTATAGTTCTGGGAATGGGAGCAAGGCTGGCATACCAACAGTAGAGTGAGTGGTATGAGGGATCAGAAAATGTAAGGAAAATTTGCATTGTATTTCTCGTGGGTCTGTCCATGATAATCTTTTCAACAGTGTTTCTCTAATGACTCAGGAGTTCTCACATGTAGAGCATAAGCTCTTGAGAACCCACTTAAATTAAAAGACTTCAAATGTAGACCCTATGACTTAGTGTTCTAAGTGACTTCTCCCATCTAATGTCATATATGACCCATTTCACCATGCTAGGAAACACTGATGCATATTGACTAAAGCAGGAAGGCAATTTCTTATTTAATAGATCCAGTTCTTCAGCAGAGAAAATGCTTGGTGTATTATATTGTATAGTGTGTTGTAACTTCTTTGCTTTCTTGTTGTGAGTTGTTTTCTTTGAAGCATATTGTAACTTATTACAATAATATTGCAATACTTATAATATTTATACATTGTATTAAAATATTTATATATTGAGTATTAAACTAATTATATGTTACAATAACATAGTATTGGTGGGTTTTGTGGTGGTGTTTTTCCTAACATTCTATGAGAAGCCTACCCCTGCCTTTTTTGCATCAGCTGAAGTATAATTAAATTCTACTCCAACCCTCCATTTTAACTCTGAATTGCTCATTCTTAAATGTGTTTCTTGTAAACAACATACTGTTAGATTCTGATTTTTAATCCATCCTACTAACCATTTGCATTTATGGGTGAGTTCCTCCCATTCATATTACAAGTTATAATTACTCTTTGCGAATTTCCCTCCATCTTATTTTTACTCACTATTGTCCTTTTCAGCCTCTCTTTTTACCCCATCTCTGTTACCTTGTCTTCTTCCCTTACCCTCCCATTCCTTATTCTACCCACCCCTCTCATAGTCCCTCCTTACCCTAATTGTGAGAAGCCTAATTGTGTAGAATGTCCTGTGTGTCAAGGGCCAAGCATTTCAAAAAAATGATCATTCCAAAGAACAGCCAAAAATTTGGCCATCTTCAAGTTGAATAAGTACCTCACGCTTTCCAAAGCACAGATTGAGTTATACTTTACTCGTATGGAATCAGAAGCAAGTCTTTCTGTCTCAATATATGAGAGGGCAATCCAATCTCAAATTATTTCCAAAGATCATCCTGTGGCTTATCTTAATCATCAAAAGCTGATATGAGACCAGGAATTATAAGTTCCAGAGAGATACACTTAATTTTTAGAAAAATTGAAAAGGCCCTGATAGCAACTCTATTCCATGAATTCATTGTTCATCCAAGATCTATCTAGTTGTACCATATCCTCCAATAAACCTCATTTGAATATTAATGTGTAGTATGTTTAGCTCATCTTTCATTTTCTAGTGTTGCAGTGATAATATTGAGCATCTGTTTAGAGAGTATTTGCTACTAAATGTTGGAGAATGGGCAAAAAAGATTGATTATCCTTTCAGCTTCTGAAAATTGGCCATCCTAACCCATAATATTGTGTGTCTATCATCTAAGAACCAATATAAAAAAGTTTGGAAGGGGCAGCTAGGTAGTGCAGTGGATAGAGCTCTGGCCTTGGAGTCAGGAAGACATGAGTTCAAATCCAGTCTCAAACACATGACACTTACTAGCTTTGTGACCCTGGGCAAGTCACTTAACCCCGATTGCCTCAGCAAAAAAAAAAAAAGCAAAAAGCAAAAAAGGTTTGGAGAGGTCACTTGTAAGAAATTTGGTTACAAGGAAATAAATATTTTTGGCAACAGCAAATTCATGAATCCATTTACAAAGATGTAGAAGGGCTGTGATTTACTGGATTAAGTTGGGGATAGGGAGGGTTGATAGTATATCAAGAATTGGCTGTGGTTTTAAAAATGACATTAATAAGATTTTACAAAAAAAATTAATTGTGCCTAATCTGCCTTCTTTCAGGTTATTTACCCTGATTATCCGATAATCCTAATCCTCTGGAAGGAATGCTCCTACCATCTGAGAACTCATTTCTTTTAAGGAAGTGGTGAATTTTCACTGATATAAAATATATCAAATATGGAGGAAGAAGTGACAATGAGCCACTCAAGTGAGATAGTAGATTTTTAGAAACTGAACACCTACATAGCAGGAATACTCATGCTCACTATATTTTAGTATTCATATGAAGTAGAAAAGTAACTAATTTGACTGATTTCCAAGCATTAGTGTCATAGATATGTGAGCAAGGATTTCTTTCCAAGTCTGCTTTCAACATAGAAATGTTTATAATGAAAGATATAGAAAAGAAAAGATTTATTGCTAAAGGTACTGAATAACAAAACCCTGGGAGGAATCAGCATGGTAAACTAAGCAAAGTAAATACTTTCCAAATCTCTACTAAAGTATATAAGCCACAAGGTTCATATACAGAAAACCTGTTTTTCCTTATATTGCCAGAGCTATCAAAATCACTCTATATCCCAGCTATTTTTCTTTTGAAACTGATGAACCATATCAGTGAGAGAAAGTACCACAATGAATAATCTGGAAAAACCCTGCTCTTTCTTTAGTTTAAGAGATTTGTTTTCATGACTCTGATCTTTGTACTTCTGGTGGAAATGAGCTGTCTGCTGTAGAGAAAAACCACTGTAAAAAGACTCTAGCCAACCAGATTCCCTGCAACCCAGGAAACTTAAGTCACTTTTTCTCATCAGCCTCTAAAACTATGGTTTCTTTTCCATGGTAAGTGAAATGATGAAAAAATTGTTGAACAATTTGGTCATGAAGGAATTCATCCTTCAAAAAACTAAGATCAGGCATTCATCCTTGCAAGAACACCCCAACAAAAACACATTTTTAATCAATGGAAACATGAAATTGCTTATTTGAAATGGTTAAGAACTGATTTATAATACACTTTAAAACTTAAAAATGGAATTAGCTAATGTTTGTAAAATAACATTACCCAAAGGGAAAGATTAATATAACAGCAGAAGTGGCATTGTCCATTAGTATAGATAGATACACACACACACACACACACACACACACACACACACACACACACACATGCACACACCTTCCACAATGTAATCAGGGGGATGGTATGATGACATAATATATCTTGCTTGTATAGGGTGTGTCAACACCCACTAATGATCTGGGTTAACTCATTCACTGCAACTTGCTCTCACAGTAGGAGATCTGGGTTCCCAGAGACAGACCACCATCACACAGTTAGAGTCAAACTATCGAGATCCAAGAGGTAACTCTATCGAAGGGAGATACATTTCTCCCAGAAGTGCAGGACCTCTAGCTCTTGAGCCTCCGCATTGTGTGTGTGTGTGTGTGTGTGTGTGTGTGTGTGTGGTGTGTTTTAAATATATTCAGGGCTTCTTAAACTTTTTCCACTCTGCAAACCCTTCAGCACTTCATAAACAGTTGAAGTTGATTATGTTTTATTAAATTTTAAGTTTAAGTTTTAACTTATTAATTTTAACAACCATCCACAATGGAATGTGCCCAAACAGTGTATGATATTTATACAACCAACCACTCACTGTGATATAATTTTAGACTTTAAACATTACTAATTACTTAAAAGAAAAGAAATAATAACTTCAAAGATAAAAAATCAAAGCATAAAATAAATTATAACACATATATACATATATTATTCATGGAAGGGTATATGATTCATATATATATATGTTGTATATTTGTATATTAATATACCAGGATCATATACCCTTCCATGAATGTGCTCATTGTTTATGGTAAAGAGTAGCCACACATATAAAGAAATCTGTCACAGAAGCACATGAGGGCAGAAAATTCATGGGCTTAGGGTAATTCACAACTCTCAAATTACAGGCTTTAATGTTATTCAATTATTCAGGAATATCAGCACAACAGGATACTGCTCCTCTTTTCACTACTTGACTACTGGTCCTCATTTTACCTTTCATTAAGCAAATTCTCTTCTCTTCCTTACTCCAATATAGCATTTATAAACTCTTTTGATTTTCCACCATTTATTGATATGAATTCTCTCCAATTCAGAGAACTGCAATGCTCATCAAACTGGCTTTCTATGGGCTATGCAGACCAAACTGGTCAGTTATTCACTCACTTGTATGCTGTTGTCTAGTTAGAATGGAGCTTACATTAATAGGGTTAAGCCAGCTCATGATGATACCAAAAACAGTCCACTCTGCTTTTCTTTCTCAAGTCAGAATCGGCCACAAAGAGCAACGGGACTTGATGAGTCCCTATCTTGAGCCCCAGATTGTCACTGCAGGGCAATAGCTCTCGACAAATGAAAGCAGTTCTTCTCTACCAATCAGGAATCATTTAGCTGAAAACTTCTATCAATACACTGCTCTAATTGCCACAGACCCAACAGAGCTTTTCAAAAGCCCTGCTTTGTCTCTAATTCTCCTCAGGTTATGCTGTCAGATTCTTATACCCAGTTCCTTTGTACTCCAGGGAATTAAACGAGAGCTTCTTGACTCTTCTTTCACTTAAAAATCACAAGAAGATGAATCTTCCTGATTCCAAGCCTGATGCTCTATCTATTGCACCACCTAGGTGCTCTCAATAAAACTTATAATCCTTAAAAAAAACATATTTCAGTCTCCAAATGTTTATGAGTTCTCATTTTTTAAAATAGTTTTACCCTCTTTAGTCATAATACAGTTATATGTAAATTAGGTACCCATAATGCTTAGAGCTCTGAAATCTGAAGATTTCAATTGGGTTCTCCATTTCTTTGGTGACCCTGAAACTGTGCTTCTTCAAACATATATTTTTCCATTTTTAAATAAATGAAAGATCTTTCTGTTTATAACATTAAACTCTTTCCAGACAAATGAGACATAATTCTACATTGTTCACAAAGGGATTCCAGTTTGTGTATTTATCCCTCATTTCATTTTCTCTAAAGCTGTTCAGATCCCACTTGAAAGCTTCATTTCTTCATATACAAATTAGCAATGTTTGTTAGAACAAAGATTTTTCTATTCCCATTAGTTATCAAAGTGTTCATCTATAAAAGCAATATCTAAAATTTTTTGACAAGATAATTTTATCAAAAATATTTTTTTTGCACTTTTCGTCTCAAAATTGCTCCATATTAAAAGGCCTTAAAGGAACAGAATACCTTATGATAAGAAAACAAAATTAAATATGTATAATAGTGCTTAGAGTTAATCATTAGTAAATTGTATTTTAAAAAATAAATAAATAAACACCACAGCCTGCAAGTTTGCATTCTTTGGCTTCAAAGAACAGTCTCTTGGCTATAGCACTGCTTGGAGTCATTCCCACTAAAGACTCAGAGATAGCAACAAGATTTGGCAGATAGATAGCATTGTGCTTTCACCATTCTATAGGGTCAGCGGACTGTGGAATGCATGATTCTGTCAGCTACAATAACAGCTCTGTATCCCCTGTGACTTATAAAGCTGGAAAAACTGATTCCTTAACTATTCTATTCAAGTTAGCTCATGGTCTCAGTTGGCAGGACATTGTTTCAATTTGGTATGATCATTTGGACTTTATTTTGTTCTCTCCATAAATCGTCATTCTCTGCAGTCTCATGGGTTCACCAGTGTTTTAAGAGAATATTCTCTCATCTTCCTGACTCAGAAGCAAGGTACTTTATTTTTATTCTTGTAATAATTTTTTTATGGTTACAAAAAGCTTTTTTTTTCATTTTAAAATGTTCTTTTTATTTTTATGACCTTGACAAATATCAACAAATATGAACATTTCTATATATGAATAAGAACAAAAAAAGATGATAGCATATGAATCTATGAAGCTATTTTAAAATATATATTAAATATAACATGGTAGTTGCAACACTGTTTTGCTTGTCCTTGTCCCCTTCTAAACTTCCTCTTGCTCTTTTACCTAAATGTATATTTTTAAATATTGCATTTACACTCTTTTCTTTATTTTTGCCATCATTTTCACCCAAACCCAAATAAATATAAATTCTCACTGGTAACAAATAAGCATTGTCAAGCAAAACAATCCACAGTTGGCTCACTCTGAAAATATTAGGCCTCCTTTTGTACCTTTAGCCCATGACCTGTCTGCTTAGAGGTGGGAAACATGTTTCATCATTCTTCTGGAGACATTACTGATCATTGCATTGATCACGGTTCTTAAGCCTTTTGTAGTCGTTTTCTTTTGAACGGCATGGAGTCAGTATGCGTGCAACTCCAATTCTTATCCAAAGTCTTGTTCAGGCTCCACAATGCTAAAGCATAGAGGAAAGGGTTCATTACTTGTTTCTGCCTTTGTCAACAACCTCAATGCTTAAGTGTATTTTTGCAGCACAAACAGCTGGAAAGACAACAGAGCTATTGATCTAGTATGTGCTAATTTCTCTTTTTTAATTCCTAAAAATGACTCTAGTGTACTAATGTGTAGTGTGCTAAGGAATGTTCTGTAGGGAAGGAGTCAATGAGGTGGTGATCCAGTTCTCTAACACAAAGCCAGTCGTTCAAAGATCATTAATTTCCATTAAACAATTTTTACATACAAAAACTGACATTTCATTACCTGACTGGCAGACAGGGCTAGATATTTGTGGAGAAAAATGGAATTTATTGCAACAATTGACTTAAAGTAGCCAAGGAAATTCCAACTTCCCCAAATGAATAATTCTACTCTTTAAGAAAAAAAAATATCATTGGTGGGAAACTTGTATAAACATATATTTGTCCTAACATCTGATGACTTTACAATTATTCATTTCTCCATCTCCCCCCAAAAAAGTGGGTATAAGATACTATTACTTTCTTTTATGGTCAAACCTTCCTAGAAAATACTAGAATGTGGATGTTTACAGAAAACCTAAACACTGGCTTAACTATCAAATTTGAGTTAGGGGGTGAAAAGAGAAAAGGGTTCTTCTCCCCTACCATCTGTTTATTTTTTAATTACCAGAGGAAGGGATTATAAGTGTAATAGGACCTTTGGAGCAAGGCCATTTCATCTAACATGGAGGCATCCCTAAGGGAGCTTGCCTAGGCATGACCATGTCTCCTAAAATGGAAGCACTCTTTGTCCCCTATCTTGTGGGTTAGTATAGCCTCCTTTGATTGGATGCTTAACAGCAATATGCTGCAG